CTACTATTTGCCAACCAGTTTGTATGCCAAAATGAAGTCGTGAATCCATTTCCAATATGGACCCTACAATTTCTAACAAAATTATCCTCGTGAGATTTCTTCAATAAGGAAACAATGTTCATCCACCAAGAAGATTTATAGATATTCCTCTTTTGATAACTACCTGCAAATTAATATCACAGTACCGCACCTTCAAAACTTTGAACCATAAAGCATTCGAACCTTGTAAAATCCTCCACCTCTATTTGTGGAGAAGAGCCACATTAAAGTCATCAATATATCTTAAACCGAGACCACCCTTGTGAATGGGAAGATAAATATCATTCCAACTCACCCAGTGAATTCTTTTACGATCCTTTAAACCACCACAAAGAAAATTACTTTGCATCTTTATATTCTCTTTTATGATTTAAGAAGAGTTATCATGTTAATTTTATGCAACATCATTGTAATTTTTTTTTGTGAGAAATGCATTATAGATTAAATTAAATTTAATAATTATAATTAATTGATAATATAAAATATTTTTATATTATTAGTGCATATTAGTTTATTTAATTTTTATCTAAATTCATAACTATTTATTTATTTAAAATATATTTTAAAAAAATAAAATTAAAAATAAAATAAATAAATAACAACAAGAATAATAAAAAACAAAAATATGAGCCTAGGCTAATTAGATAGGTTAAGCTTATCGTCTTAAAAATATATATATGATTTTTAATGAAATTTTGATTCCCTTACCATTAAAAATAAATCTATATTTAATCTAAGAGAGGATTATTTTGAGTAGAGAGAGATAGTTTTTTAATAACCACGTCAACACAACCACTTTTGAATAGTAAAGAAGTAAAGAAGTTTTTGTATGAAATTCTTTGTTTTTATGCTTTCATACCACAGTCGTTGGTCAAGTCATCAGATGAAGGTGTATCTAAACTTTTGAGACCGTCGTTCTGGAATATTCTCACCGAAAAGAGCCACTATTATGAAGGAGAGAGCGAAAATTATTAAAAAGCAATTTATGAAAGTCTTTTTTGAAGGAGGAAATTGATTGCTGCCAAAGGTCGCAGTGGATGAAAAGCTTTTTCAAGAGTTGTGCAATCCTTGGAAGGAGGCACTAGTTATAAAACTCCTTAGGAAAATACATGTTATCATTTGATGAAGGATAAGTTGAAGAAGATGTGGAAACTTTCTGAAGGTTTTGGGATCATGGACGTTAACAATGATTTCTTTATGGTCAAGTGTGAACTGCTCGTAAATAGGGAGAAGATTGTGTGAGAAGGTTCGTAGATGTTGTTTGACCATTATTTGGTAGTGACTTGATGGACTTCAAACCTGCCATAAGGTCTGGAGTAAAGTGTTGTTGTGGGTTGGTGTTCCATAAGGGCACTCAATGCCTGTCATTGAACACTTGTTGTAGTTCATAAATTCCTTGAGAGGGAAATTTTTGGTTAGGAAGAGGTCGATGTTGTGGCTGACAACTTGTTGGACCCTTTGGTGTAAGTAAAATGCGATCATTCTTAAAAATGAGGTTGTTGTTGTTGGTGAGGTTTTTGAGCAGGTTAGACTTACCTTCTGGTTCTGGCATATTATCAGCTTGCAATTGAAAGGAGCTTCGAACTTTTACTTTTGGTGTAAGAATCCTTTGGATTTCCTAATCGCATAGTGATTTTGTAAACAGACGAGTACCCTTTATACTCTTTTAATGTCAAGGTTATTCCATTGCTTATCAAAAAAAGTTTGTATCTCCTAACACAAAGGTGGACAAGACTCTAGTTAAGGTTCAATTTATGGGGTTTAACTTATTATATTATGATAAAAATATCCTTCTTGGTTTGACATCTGTTGTGAGTACTCCTGTTACAGTAGATATTAACACCTTAGATGTAGAAAGGGTAAGGTTTGTGAGGATTTGTGTGATGATTGATTTGACCTTGTCGATTGTCGGAAATGTCAATGTTAATGGCCACTAGTACAACGTGCAATATGAAGGTCTTCAAATTATTTGTTCCAATTGTGGCTGTTATGGACATTGTTTGTGATAGTGACAAAGTTCAATTTCAATCAACACTTTGATATGTGGGAGCAAAGAACAATGACAACAAAACAAATGACGTCAAACAATAAACATAATAGTAGGCGAGAGCACAAGAAAATAATTTACCTAATTCGATCAAATGATCTGCGTCTAGAAGAGATAATAACTCTCTAATTTACTATACTCAGAAAGTTGTCACAAGAGATTATAGACGAGTTATAAGAAAATAGCCCTCGCCTTCAAAGTTCTCAAGAACAACCCTGAAGGCTCTCAAGAACAAACCCCTATTTTCTACCCAAGTGTTTCTCAACCTCTCAATATATGAATCATTTTAACCCAAAGTATCAAGAAGTATTATCTAACCCTTGGCCAGGGTATCAAGAAGTATTATCAGACCCTTCTAAATAACTCTAAAAGGTTTCCTTCTAAACCCTAATTTATACCTTATGCAACTCCCACCTGACAAATGAGAGAAAACCCATATTTATAACTAAAAAATATTAACGGGCCCAAGATATGACCCATTAATAAACGGGTCCACAAACAAGTCCAAAATTGCCAGTATCGAAATATATCTCTTTTTCTTATCTTTTTCAGTTGAGGTTTTAAGGCATATTACAACAGACATCCCACTTGTGATTGCATGAATACATTAGATAATCTAATGCAATTGATTGTTCTTATGGTGGCGCAACCAAGAGGCCCCCTAAAAAATGATGTTGACCATGAGCAAAGACTAACAAAACTTCATTAGGAAGTGGCCGATAATAACATCAAAATTGTAGCAAAATAATCTAGAGAAACAAATGCAGTTCATGGTGATTGGTTGGTGGTGTAAGGGAGAAAATACAACAAAAGAGTCAATTATGACCAAGGGAAATCTTTATCCAATAATTCTCCTAGAGATCTAAGGATTTCTAAAATAAAGAGGTTTAATGTTTCCTTAAAAGGAATAAACGTAAACAACAAAACTGCCGAACCCAATCAACTTGACGCGGTTTCCAAGAAACAACAATTTGATAAGAGCAGACCCACCCCAAACATGTGTTTGTCAACACAAAAAGGGGACACGCATTTCAAGGTCAGGTAAACCATTTTGGAATCTCATCTTGCTACTGGTGGGCCTTCGCACAAAATTGAGACAACTTTTAATTCATGCCCAATAAAAAAGGGTGTGCCTTGCACTTCTAAATACTCTTCCATCATTCCCATAGTAAATTTAGATTTGGAAACCATCACACAATATAATATTTTGCATTTTGAACCAACAACAAGCCAAACATATATAAATAACCAATGTGTTATGGATGAAGGTGTTGTTCAAGAAGAGGAAGTTGTTTGTGAAACTCTCATTTGATGGGAGTCAGTTACGTAAACTGTCACGTGTCCGAGCCTTTCTTTGTCACCTCCATCAACTAAATTATATATGTTAGTTTTCAAAGAAGTCATTGTGCTCTTCTGAAATATCTAGGGATACTCAAATAATAAGTCTAAAAGACACACAATGGATGTGATTAAAAACACTCTCCAACATTTTTAATCATTATGGAAACACACATTTGATTTTCATAAGACCAAATCCTTATAGGATAAAGTTGGATATGTGGGTGTTGACTACATGGATGAGTGTGGTCAATCTGAAGGCATTTGGGTGTTAAAGTAGAATGGTAGTAACATTGTAACTATCGTTCATGATGTCTATATGAATACAATTACTATCAAGTTATCATTGCAAACTTCCTCTTGGCACGTAACTGAAATTTATGCTAGTCCCATATTCACTTCTTGTATCGACTTGTGGCTCCACCTTGTTGACTGGAGGAACACTTTTGATGGTAATTAGATGTTGATTGGAGACTTTAACAACATCATTCATTCAAGTGAACAAAAATGAGGTAATTTTAATCATTTTAGGGTTGCTGCTTTGTTGAATGTCTTTGATAAATGTATTTTAGTTGAAGTAGACATGATTGGTGAGAAATTCACGTGGAATAGGTCTTGTACTAGTAATCAAATGATCTATTTCAAAATAAGCCTTGTACTAGTAATCAAATGGTCTAATAGAGCCCTGGTTGACTTTGCATGGAACATGGAATTCCTTGATGCATATGTCGAGGTGTTGTATAAATTTCGTTATGATCACAAATTCTCCTTAGGTGCAACATTCCATTCCAAGACCACATGCCACATCCTTTTAGGTTTGAGGTAGCTTGGATCACTCACCTAAAATACTCCAATATAGTTTAGACTGCTTGGAGGAATTTTCCTAATGATATTGTAACTTGTCTCTAAAATGTACAACACAATTCTATCCTTTTTAATATGAAAACTTTTGGCAATATCAACAAACAGAAGCATGACATCGAGAAGAGATTAACGAGTATCAACAGTACTAGGATAAAATAGATTTAGCAAGACTAGTTTATCTCTTACATGAGCTTCAAAAGAAGTATAATGAAATCTTTGCAAAATAATAGATTCATTGGTATCAAAAGGCTAGAGATAATTGGATTAAATTGGTAGATCGTGCATTGAGCTGGTGATGCTATATCATGGTTTGCGTATGACATGAGAACTTGACATCAAAGACTTGATGTGTATTCAAACGCCAACTCTGCTATCAAACTTATCTTAAAGTCGGTTAATGTTTGACATCACAATACCGCGATCCTCCACAACATTAAAAACTTCTCACTTAGAATGCTAAGTTCAAATATTTCATACTCTTAGGGAGAATAATGCTTGTGCCAACTATTTAGTAAAACATATGACTGATAATGATGCAGCGTACCAATCTTTTACATAACCTCCTATTAACTAATGTTAATGAGACTTTATTTTCTCGATAATTTCTTTTTTTTTTTCTCTAAAAAAATAATAACAATTATAATATTTTAAAAAAATAGCATGGTAAAAGATAAAACAAATACGGGAGTATGTGTAGAGTGTGGAGTGTTAAGTGAATAGGTGTCACAAAAACCGCAACTTCTCCACAAAAACCTACTCCTTATTTTCTGTTTTGACCAACCTTAACCTTAACCTTAACCTTCACATTAACCTCTCTCTCTTCTCTCATCTCACTCTCTTCAACTTTCTCTCTCTTCAATTTTCTCTCTCCTCCACAATCTCCCTATTCTGGTCTCTCTTTCACTCTCTCTCCCATTCTTCTCTTCTTCTCCCTCCCCCTTCTTCTTCTATCTCTCTGTTCCTTCACATCACCCTACTCTCATCACCATTCATCAAAACCCTAATTTCACTCTTCAGGTACGTACTTCACTTCAATTTCCAATCGGTTTTTTCAATTGTTGTTGTTGTTGTTATTGTTGTTATTGTTGTGTTTGATTATATGTTTTTAACGGTTTCGTGGATCTCTGTATTTGGATTTGCAGGAAAGTTTGAAGAAGAAGAATTTTTTACAATTTTTCTTCTTTTGATTTGTTGTTTTTGTGAAAAATAGTGTTTTTGAGGGATTATAGAATTGGTATATATGTCCTTCAATCAATCAAAAACGGAAAAGAACGACGCCGCTTATCGAAAGTCCGGGCGATCGTCTAGCTTCAATCAGCAGAGAGGTCCTTCAGGCGCATATGGAAGGGGCAGCGGCGGACCCGCGCCATCTGCGCCGCTTTCCTCTAATAGGAGGTGAGTTAGGGTTTGCTAATTTGCCATTTTTGTGTTTTTCGTTGTTTTTAATTATTTTTCCATTATTTGGCTAGTTTTTATTTATGGAATAGTGTTGGTTTGTGTGGATTGGGAAACTTGGGTTGCTTTGTAGAATTTGTATGTGATTTTAGGGTAATAAAATCAATTTTAGTTTTTCTTTTATTTCTGGAATCAATGGATGAAGTTCACATTCCATATTTTAAGATAAAATGCTTGAACATATGTCACAAAGAGTCATGCTAACATAGTACATGTTAAGGAATCAACAAATATAAATCATGTCTTGAAAAAAAACAATTTTTTTAAACTTTTCAATAAAGTGAATAAACAATTTTCGATACGATGTTTCTATATTTAGTTCACTATCAACTATCAAGCATTCTTAGGACTCATGTTAACATCTCCCTAAGAAAAATTGCTATATAACAAAATGAATTTGTGAAAACTTACTATTTTTTCTTTTTTAACAAGTTATGAAGACCCTTGTTTTGTTCCATGTAATTTGATGATTTTTTTAATTTGGTTAACAGTTATGTTTTTTTTCACCCCATAATGAGTAATGTGGTATATCTCCACTCTGTTCGTATTTTATTGATTATTTGTGTGCTTGTTTCAGTTTTAACAAGAAGTCTAATAATGCACAAGGTGGACACTATAGGGTGAATCCTTCCCCAGTGAATTCAACTGAGTCAAACAGTGCTTCTGCTGCTCGAACCCTACATAATGGTACTCATGTACACCCACAATTGCATGGTAAGCTTTACCATGAGATTTTCTTAAATTTTTAAAAATGTCTCATTCTTCTCGTCTTTGGTTTTTGGTGTCTGGTAATGCTGTTCAGTAAAAGGTCACTGCTGCGGAAGACTATGCAAATTATGTTTTTCTTTGTGTTTGGTGAATTATGGTTGTGTTTGTATATGTAATTCATTAGCTTACGTGGTAGGATAGGAGCATCTGATGGGCCGGTTGCAAAGGCATCTGAATCAACCGCTGCACAGAGGAGCCCTATAGTTGTTCCAAATCCAACTTCTCAACCACCCCCCGTGAGCTCTAATACAACCACTCCTACTGGCCCCGCTAAGGGTATGTTAGTCCTGTAGGTTTATGTTGTGGTACATCAGATGTGGATTAAATCCTGTTTTTTGTTACTTGTAGATTGCGTCATATGAATGTGTGCTGGCAGTTTGATTTGTTTGTCATTAGTTGTTTTATGTTTGCTTTGGCTGTGACAGTTAAGTAATATGAATATTTGTCTTTCCCAGGAGATGCATCAAAGGCATTCCCTTTTCAGTTTGGATCGATTGTTCCTGGCTTAATGAATGGAGTGGCTGTAAGTTCTGCTATATTATTGTTAAATGATTGGTTTATATGTATTCAATTGAATTTTAGCGTGAGTAACTGATCATGTTATTATAATATGCAGATTCCTGCTCGTACAAGCTCAGCTCCTCCTAATTTAGATGAGCAGAAGCATGATCAGGTATTCACTTTTATTCTGTCACTTTCTCCATTATGTCCATACTTTTGTATAGTTTTGGATGGAATTAGTGCCACTTCCCAACTGCCTAAAGGAATAATATGAGTATATAGTTTTTTGGAAATGAATCTGAAAGAGGAGTTTATAGCAAGTTTTGTCTACACGAAGTTAGCTTGCTTAATGTGTTCTCATAGCAAGTTTTTCCCTGATTATGTTTTCTTGAACTTTCAGGCTCATCATGACTCTGTTAGGTCCGTGCCTTCAGTGCCAATACCTCTCGTTCCGAAGCATCAGCAGCAACAACCTCCTAGGAATGATTCAGGTGTAACTGAGAAATCTAATGCCAGGGAGACTAATCTGGGTGCTAAGGCTAAAAAGGACCCTCAAGTTCCAGCTTTGATCCCGGCAAGCCAGATGCTGAAGCCTTCTGTTGTTGCTCCTGTAACTGGGATTTCAATGTCAACACCATTTCAGCAGCCTCAGGTGTCTTTACAGTTTGGTGGTCCTAATCCACAGATTCAATCTCAGGGGATGTCCTCAACACCCCTCCATCTTCCTATGCCAATGCCTATGCCAGTTGGGAATGTTCCACAAGTGCAGCAGCCGGTTTATGTTCCCGGTCTTCAGCCTCATCCAATGCACCCTCACGGGATCATGCATCCAGGCCATAACTTAAGTTTCACTCATCAAATGGGCCATCAGTTGCCCCATCAAATGGGCAACATGGGCATTGGTATCAGCCCTCAATATCCCCAGCATCAGGGTGGAAAATATGCTGCTCCTCCTCGGAAAACTACTCCCGTCAAGATAACTCATCCTGAAACGCACGAAGAGCTCAGGCTTGATAAAAGGGCAGGTGGATATTCAGATGGTGGGTCATCTGGTGCTAGGTCACATCCTAATGTACCTTCCCAATCCCAACCTGTTAAATCCATTGCCGTTTCTCAGCCTACAAGTTATCATCCCTATAGTTCCAGTCCTCCCTATTATCAACCTTCTAGTTCTCTTCCATTAACAAGTAGCCAAATAACTCCCAACGCTCAGCCGCCAATATTTAATTATCCTGTGCACAATGGTCCACAAAATGTGGCTTTCATGAATTCACCGTCTCTTAGTTCTCTGCCTGTTAATCAAATAAGCCCTCCTATTCCTAGCATTGCTGAACCCCCCATTGCAGAACGTTCTCGTCAGGTGCCTACTGTGACGGCATCAGCTTCAACAGGGGTTGCTTCTGTGACTATTAAACCAAATGGTGTGTCTGCTGTTAAGGACTCACCGTTGACTGATTCTAGTATTTGTGGTGTTCAAAATACCGATGCTCGTAGTTCAGCAGCATCTTGCGATGCTAGTTCCCCTTTACCCAAAAAAGGGTCTGAAGCTTTCTCAGAAATCTCTACGCAACAGTCTAAATCTTCTGAGGAAATTTTGCCAAAACAATCTGCTGCATCTGTTGTTGTCACTGCTGATAAGGTTACAGTGCTACCTACCTCAGCTGTGGCTGAGGATTCTGTTTCTGTTGTGACAAATAATGAAGCCAGCACGAGGGAACCTATTAGTCGGTCCAACTCTTTGAAGGATAACCAAAAGAAACCCGGGAAAAAAGGCCAATCATCTAAAGATCAGGTATACACTTGAATTATTTTTCACACGTTATTTGGTTCTTGGTATAATTGAACATATAGTGTATCTACTTTTCAACTTTTCCCCCCGCAGGTTTCTTTGCAATCTCCTACTGTGGCTATTATGCCGTCTCGAGCTGTTGACAGTGATATATCTGAATCAGGGGTTTCCACACCTGTGGGAAGTGAAACAAACCATTCTCCTGGAGTTATTGCTCAAGTGGCTGATAGTTTGAGCAATCATAAGCATGATCTGATAGATGAATCATCCGAAGGTGAGAATTATTATAAAATGATGAACTTCCTCTTTTGATAAATTCCAAAAAAATATTAAATGTGACTATAAAATTCAAACTGAAAATATGCTGCAAATTTAAGTACTGAGGTCTTAACCTTTTAAACAATACAGAAAATACAGGATGCATATGCTAGTTAAGTCAGAAGGTGACATGATAGGTGATAATTTGGGTGCATCTTACCTCTTACTGCATTGGAGTCTAGTGACGTCTCTTTAGGTAGAAAGATAGTGTAGTTTCTAATGGATATTTTTGTTGGAATTTTGTATCAGATCTGCAGTCTGCTGATTTGCCAGAAACAACTGCAAAGGAAATCAATGATAGTGCAGAGAATGCTTGCAGCGACTCTATGTCAGTTTCAGGTGCCAAGGACACACCAAATTTAGAACCAAATAAGGTGAAAACTACATATAAAGGGAAGAAGAAACTAAAAGAGATTCTCCTGAAAGCAGATGCTGCCGGGTCAACTTCTGATCTTTATAATGCATACAAAGGACCCGAGGAAAAGAAAGAAACTGTTTCAATTTCAGAGAGCACAGAAAGTGAAACTACATCTGAAGGGTTAAAGCAGTTATCTGCAGATTCTGCTCTGTTAGATGCTAGCATAAGTGAGAAAAGTGGTCACTCTAAAGTCGAACCTGATGACTGGGAGGATGCGGCTGACATGTCTACAAAAATTGAAGTTGATGATAAATCTCAACAGGTTATCGATGGAAGTGGAAGTACAGCGAAAAAGTATTCACGTGATTTTCTTTTGAAATTTGCAGAGCAATGCATTAGTCTTCCTGAAGGTTTTGAAATTACGGCAGACATAGCTGATGCTTTGATTAGTGCCAATATTAATAATTCTCGTGATTCACATCCTAGTCCTGGAAGAACTGGAGACAGGTCAAGGATGGAACGCCGTGGTAATGTTGTGGCTGAGGAAGACCGATGGAATAAAGGTTCCAATTCTTTTCATTCTGGGCGTGCTATGGATGGCAATGGTAGTAATGGCGGACCTCGACATGGCCAAGGAGGTAATTATGGTGTTTTAAGGAATCCTCGTGGACCGGCACCCCTTCAATATGCCGGGGGAATCCTTTCTGGGCCAATGCAATCTGTGGGAAATCAGGGTGGAATGCAAAGAAATAGCCCTGATGGGGAGAGGTGGCAGCGTTCACCTAGCTTCCAGCAGAGGGGCTTAATTCCTTCTCCTCAGTCTCCCTTACAGATGATGCACAGGGCTGAGAAGAAGTACGAAGTAGGTAAAGTCTCAGATGCAGAAGAGGCAAAGCAGAGGCAACTGAAGGCTATCTTGAACAAACTAACTCCTCAGAATTTCGATAGACTTTTTGAACAAGTTAAAGCAGTTAATATTGACAATGCAGTCACTCTCACTGGTGTCATCTCACAAATCTTCGAGAAGGCTCTGATGGAGCCTACCTTCTGTGAAATGTATGCCAACTTCTGCTCACATCTGGCTTCTGAATTGCCTGATTTGAGTGAGGACAATGAAAAGATAACTTTTAAGAGGTTATTATTAAACAAATGCCAAGAGGAATTTGAGAGGGGTGAAAGAGAACAAGAAGAGGCAAATAAGGTTGATGAGGGAGAGGTCAAACTGTCAAATGAAGAAAGGGAGCAGAGAAGAACAAAGGCAAGAAGGCGCATGTTAGGAAATATCAGATTGATTGGAGAACTATATAAGAAGAAAATGTTGACAGAGAGGATAATGCACGAGTGTATCAAGAAGTTACTTGGTCAGTGTCAGGATCCTGATGAAGAAGATGTTGAAGCTTTGTGCAAGCTGATGAGTACTATTGGGGAGATGATTGACCATCCCAAAGCCAAGGAACATATGGATGTATATTTTGAAAGGTTGAAAATCTTATCAAACAACATGAATTTATCTTCTAGGGTGAGGTTTATGTTGAAGGATGTAATTGATTTGAGAAGAAATAGATGGCAACAAAGGAGGAAAGTTGATGGTCCAAAGAAGATTGAAGAAGTGCACAGAGATGCTGTGCAAGAGAGGCAGGCTCAAGCTCAAGCTGGTAGGATGGGTCGTGGTATGGGAAACAATCAATCTGCAAGAAGGAACCCTATGGATTTTGGTCCTAGAGGATCATCGATGATGTCTCCTACTGCTCAGATGGGTGGACCACGCGGGCTCTCTTCTCCAGCCCGTGGATATGGTGGTTTACAGGATGCTCGTTTTGAAGAAAGGCAATCTTATGAGCCTAGGACTTTGTCAGTTAATTTACCTCAAAGACCCTTGGGTAATGATTCTATAACATTGGGACCCCAGGGTGGTCTTGCTAGGGGAATGTCCAGCAGAGGATCAACAGCAGTTTCAAATTTGTCAATGCCAGATGTGCATTCTGGCCATGGAGACTCTCACAGAATGCAGAGCGGTATTAATGGTTATAACAATTCATCTGAGCGCACGCCATATGGCTCAAGGGAGGATCCTGCATCAAGATATATTTCAGACAGATCTGCAAGTCTAGCTGGATATGATCATTCAAATGCTCCAGAGCATAATATAAACTATGCTAACAGAGACTTAAGGAATGATGATCGGAATCTCGGCAGACCTGTTGCAACTTCACCGCATCCTCAGTTGCAAGGGCCAATTGTCTCCCAAAATGCCTCCTCAGAGGTGGTTTTGTCAGAGGAAAAACTACAGGAAATGTCCTTGTCAGCAATCAGAGAATACTACAGGTACTTTTTTGTCTTTGTTGTGTTTATATCTTTTTCGGTTACAGCTTTTGTTTATCACTGTTTATTTCATGAAAGTTAAAACATACAAATGTTTATTTCAATTTAGCTATCCATTTTATTTCACTTAGGATTAGGTTTCCATCACTATTTTTGATATAGCTTTATGCTGTCTCATTAGTAAATGTACTGGTGCCAATTATGATGTTTCATTCTTTTATCAATCTTTTCTTTTACTTGCTTGTGTTTTTGGACTACATGTTTTAATTAGTTTTTTGATTTAAGGGGAGAGCAAATTTACCACCTTATTTCTTTTTGTAACTAGTTTAAACAAAAATAGGTCATGATTATATTAAGTTAATTCTTTCATAGCTTTTAATAATATGATTAATTTCCATATGATATTTTCTTAGATAACAGTAAGCAAATTTTAAGGAGGTAATTGCAGTTTCCCCCTAGTATTTTTTTTTTTGTCTTCCCTGTTCCTCGGAGTACTAAATTTCTACGCTGCAAAATGTCCTACACACATTTTGAAAAGAGAACGGAGATATACGTGAAATTGTTCGCTTTGCTAGATTGAATTCATTTTTGTTGTTGTTGTTGGGATGTTGTGTACTGTAGATGCCATGGGATTTGTCACAAAATAAGTGTGCCCAAACCTGCCTAGTGCATATCCATGCCAATAAAAAAATAGTTGTAGTAGAACTCCTGATGAAGAGTGTCTAAGAATGTCTAACAAAAGTCTAATGCTGATGGTACTGGAGAACTGTTTGACACTGATACCTAAAGAAATAGACATACATGTCTGAGCTTCATGAAACTGGTTATTGATGAGAACTGAGTTAGGTTCCATAGTATGCTGATTCTTACAGCCGGGTCTGTTTCTTTGTTAAATTTTTAGGTTCTTTTGTTCTTTATGTAGTGTTGCATGGGGAACTTATTTCCCGTATGTCTTGTGTGTGTATGAAAGACTTGACTGAAATTTAAACAATTTTCAGTGCTAGAGATGTAAACGAGCTTGCTCAATGTATCAAAGATTTGAACTCTCCAAACTTTCATCCTTCCATGGTTTCTCTATGGGTGATAGACTCGTTTGAGAGAAAGAACACTGAAAGAGATCTTTTGGCCAAACTGCTTGTCAAACTTGGGAAATCTCAGGATAGCCTTTTGACCCAAACTCAGTTTATTGAAGGGTAAGCTTTTATTTCACCATATATTAACTAGCAGAGAGAATATTACACTTGTCATGATATTTTTTCCATGATATGTTTGACCAGGTTCGAGGCGGTTCTCAGTAATTTGGAGGATGCTGTTAATGATGCCCCCAAGGCGCCAGAGTTTCTTGGCCGTATTTTTGCAGAACTTATATCAGAGAGTTTAGTCGGTTTGGATGAGATTGGGCAGTTAATACATGATGGTGGAGAGGATCCCGGCAATCTCTTAAAATTTGGACTTGCGGCTGATGTTCTTGGAAGCACATTGGAGGCTATAAAACACGAGAAAGGGGACGTAGTTCTAAGCGAGATTCAGAAAAGCTCAAATTTGCAGTTGGAGTCTTTCCGACCACCTAATAATTCTAGTACATCAAGGAAGTTGGAGAAATTTATTTAGATAACAGTGATTGCTCAATGTATGTTTTTTACATACATACAGTGGGAAATGATTTTGTCCAGTGCTTTTGTGGGTTACTCGACTTGCTGAGATGATTTTCTCATGAAGATTTGAGTAGGATGAAATGTTATATATTATGGGATTTCTTTTGACTTAATCTTATTTCTCCTACATCTTCATTGCAATTGTAAAAGGCTCAATTAATCATCTGACTCTGAAATTTTTAGGCTGAAGTTACTAATCTATTTGGTTATATAGCCTTTTATTTATATGTTTCTATAAATAATTTGAAGAGAGATTTTATGGAAACATTGGAAATTATGTGAAGTCATTCCTTTCTTGATAACCTTTATGTGCATTTAATGATTATTTCTACCAATATATTCATAATAAAATATTTCAACTAAATTTAGACCGACCAAATTCTCTATCTAATTTTCTTTATAGAAGACAAATGTATTACGTTTATTTTCCCATCTCTTTTATGACTATTGTTTTTGACAAAATCTTAGTTTAGTTGTATTTTTTCCATTTTCTCCAAAACTGGTTAAAAAATAGGAGGAGAAAAATCAACAAGATTCGAACATTTTGGTCAAAAGAAGAGGTTCGTTTTTTAAAATTTAATCCTTATTTTCTTATGTTTTTATTAGATGAAAAGATATTATTGTGTGTATTGCAATATTTGGTCAAAAAAAAGTTTCAACATGTTGATTTTGAACCCTTTTATTAAAGTAACTTTTTTTTAATTAGCATAATATAGTATTCGAAGTGTTATATTAAGGGACAAAGTTAGAATTTAATATTGGATGGAATAAATACTAAAAGACAACTAGTAAAAGGCAGCCTAAAATGATAAAGCCAAAGTTGTATGCAAAATCATTTTATTAAAAAATTGGTAAAGTTCCAATTTCTGAAACAAGGGAAAGATAAAACTCCAAAATATAGATATGGTGAAGAATCAGTTTGTGTTGATTCATGGAGCTGGCTATGGTGCATGGTGTTGGTACAAAGTCGCAACTCTTCTTAAATCAGTTGGTCATGATGTTACATCTTTGGACTTGGGTGCTTCTGGTATCAATACAAAACAAGTCCAAGATATTTCTTCAATATTGGATTACAACGAACCTTTGGTGACATTCATGGAGTCTCTTCCTTCAGATGAAAAAGTGATTCTTGTTGGTCACAGTTTTGGTGGAATCAACATTTCCATGGCTATGGAAAGATTCCCTCACAAAATCTCTGTTGCAGTTTTTGTTGCTGCTTTTGTTATAACTCAAGATCTCACTTACCCCAATATTGTTCAAGAGGTACTTTATTTTTTTCTATTTCCATTTTTCTCATGTTTTATTTTTTATTTAGTTGTATTAATTCCTCTGCTCTTTATACAAATCATATAGATAGTACGGATTGATTTAAAATGAATTTATTTGATGGCTCTCTATATGCAGCTTGTGAGAAGAAGAGAGGGAAAAAAGGATTGGTCAATGGACACACAACGTTTATTTTTTAATGGAAACAATAACCCTCCAACAGCTTTATTATTTGGACCCAAATATATGGAATCTCAAATGTTCCAATTATCACCACCTGAGGTAAAATCAATTTCAATTGTTTGAAAAATATTATATTTTAGCAAACATAGTTAAAAGATTCAAGTAACATGTAGGATTTGGCGCTTTCATTATCATTGTTAAGACCATTTCCTCTATTCAACAATGAAGAATTGTTTTCGAAAGAATCGAAAGTTAGCAAGGACAAAAATGGAAGTGTGGCTAAAGTGTTCATCATCACCAAAGAAGACATATCGTTGATAGATGATTTACAAAGGTGGATGATTGAGAGAAGTGGTCCATATGATGTGGTGAATGTCATCAATCATTCTGATCATATGGTTATGTTCTCCAAACCAAAAGAACTTAGCTCTCTCTTGCAACAAATTGCAGACAAATATTAATGTTTTTTTTGTTCGTGTGAGTAGTCTTAACCTTCTTATTCTAGTAAAAATACAAATTGGTCTTATAGATGAACTCTTCTAATTTAATGTCTATTTTTTTTAATACTATCCTTGAATTTCTATTTAGGACCCCTTAAATATGAGATCTCTTTCACTTTCTCTCAATAATTAATCATAGTGTTAGAAAAATTACAAAGATAGCAATGATGGAACATCAATAAACCCAATTCTATTCCTTTGAATAAAAATGATTAAATGAATAGAGTTTTACAAAATAAATCACTCGAAAACAAAGACTCAATAAACACAAACACCTTGTTAAATAACAAAACAACTACATCTTGTGATTAGGGTTAGAAGAACTTCCAGCTGAAGAAAACTCTAAATGTATATTTAAATTATGATTTAATTTGATTTGAAATCTACAATAAATTAAATTTCAATCGTTGATTTGGACTTGATATGTGACTGTTTTTAGAAATTCTTTCATAATTTCAAAAAGCGCATAAACATACAAATAAATAAGAAAACAAATTTGACACTTAATCTAGAGCCGTCAAAGAGGGCTAACTCATATGAATTGGTCCGCCAAATCCAAAAAATTATAGGGGTTGAGCCTTAAAATTAGAGTCCATGTTTTTTTAGGCTTTTTATTCCAATCCTAAAAAGCCCCTATCCATTAGAGCTAGCCCATATTGATAGTGGGTAGTCCGTTAAACCCGTATAACTATAAATTTTAAAAAATTATATTAATATTTATGTTGTCTCACTCCAAAACAACACACTAATTTTTCTCACCTCACTAAATTTTATTTCTTTTACATATTATACATAATATAACCAAACTAATATTTATTTTGTGTGTGTTTTATTTCACAATTTCCTCTTATTCTATTAGTTTTTCTTAAGATAAATATTTAAGTATTATTTTATACAATTTCAACATGTATTATATTAAAAAACATATTAAAGTATTTATAAAAATTAATATAATATTTAAAATAATATATATTTTTATTATATTTATAAAAATATGATGAAGTCATTATTCTAATTTTCGCATAAAAAATAATAATTAAAAAGCCTGTTTAGGGCCGGGTAGTCCGAAATCCATATAGGGTCGGGTAGCCTGAAATCCATATAGGGCCGGACTCAGATAGTAATATTTGAGCCCATATTACAACAAAGTTTTCTTGTTCCGGCCCTAAAAAATTCGAGGCCCATCAGGGTCAGCCCGTTTAGGATCGGGTAGCCCGTTTTGACAGCTCTAACTTGATCTTAAAGAGACGCAACATCTTCTGGTGCAGAATGTTCCATAACCCGTGAAACATTTGGCACCACATTTTTGCGACATGTTTTGAGTGTATAAAGACCACATGTCTCAACAACATGTCATGACATCTTGCATAACATGTTGATTCTAAAAATATGCCAATCACTTGTAATAACACCATGTATTCGCAATGACATGGACTGGAGTTTGATCTAAAAAAGATGTAAAAAAAAATTAGATAATTATTATCTGTACTACCTCTGCCTACATCATTCTCATCCCAAATAATCAAACATGGATAATACGATCATCATAAATTAGTCTTGCCTTGATTTTACTTCATTAACACGTTCGTTGTCCTTACATGAAAACCACAAAACCTCAAATACATAAAGAAATATTTCTTTAGGCTCTTAATATCATTTGCAATACTTCGTTTAACTAGCTCTTAAAACCTTGTGTAAAAGGTGATTGAATTGTGATTACGATCCTAGAGGATTATATCTAGTAGGTATTGAGACATGCAAGCAAAATCTTCACCAAATAATATTTTGCAGAAGGAAGCAACTTCTTTAAACAATGTGCCTTGCGTACCAAACTATCAGTCATGTGGAAATGTCTTGGAAAATAGGGATTCATTTCCTCTGACAGCTATTTAAGTTTGGATAATAACCTATGGATTATTTCAAGAATATTGAAGGACCTCCCACCCAGGCTCCTCCACAAAAGACGTCAACTTCTCACAACGCCTAGAAGATTTAAACTCGTGAGAGGATTACAATTTTTTTAGAGTATCCCACATCCAAGATCTAAAGGATGCTTAGATATAAAAGGAGTCCACTACTATGGAAAACATCTTTCGTGAAACAATATTACAACGACCTTTCGTTAACTGTGGTGAAATCTCGTTTTTGAGCGCTTTCTTTTTAGTTTTTACTAAAATATATTTCACTACAGATAATGTTAAAATCCATAGTGAAATGTGTCAGGAGTTACATGGTTCGAATCCCAGTTCCTCCAATTTTCTATTTTATCGTCACAAAAAGGAAATACCCTTGTATATCACCACAATTATTTTAGTCAACAGTGGTGTATAGTCCAATCATTTCATCACGGTTCTTCTTGTCAACTATGATGAAAAGTGATGTTTTTTTCATATATAAGCAAAAATATCTCTCGTTCAGTACATAACAACCGTTTCTATCAAAAGAAAACCCTAACATATTTCACTATTCTCTTTCAAGACATAACCCTAACATCCATGTCAATCATCACACATACTGCAACATTTAGATTCGTCTTCACCAAAAACTTCCTTCTGGTTTGTTTGTTAAACTTATGCTCCAATTTCGTTTACGTTTCTTGTTAAAAATGGTTTCTCGTTTTTCCATTTGGTGAATCTTCCATGTAATACTGTTAATGTCATGCTGTTTTTTTTACTTATAGGGACAAAGCGTATACTTTGGCTATGACACATATGATTTGTGTTGCTATGAAAAACAATACAAGAAGTATGAAACTATTGTCTAAACTTCATCCACCTTGTATTTTTTTCATAACATCATAAACTAGATGAATGTCATAATTGATTCCAGTTCAACGATTGTTTTCAATAAAAGGTGCGTTCTTGAAATATTTTATTATATCTTGTATTGTTGTATGATGTTGTATGATGTTGTATGTTGTTGTATGTTGTCAGTCTTTTGTTGATATAATGTATGTTTTTTTATGTTTTTTTTATAATGTTCTTAAAACAAGAACAAAATATTGCTAAGTCATAAGAAAGAGGCTTCTTGTGACTTAACAATGTTTTGTTCTTTAAATTCTTATGCAGATTGACAGAAGATCAAGTTGAGTTATTATATTGTATGTAGTTTGTTTGTTTCACTAAAACTTCACTGAAATACATTCATTTGAATTAACATAAAAACTTATAATCTAAAAATTAAGTTGTATTTGAAAACCAACTTATATAAAAAATATATTTCGAATTGCATTCGTCTCATAATTCATCTAACACTCTTTAACCTATAGAATATGGTTCAATGACTTGATTCCTTCATCGAATCGATTCCTTCGCTTATAGTTTAATTTGAATATCATCAATTTATTATCCAAGTCTACCTCATCATCGTCACTTATCATCATGATTGTTATGATGATAAGTCATCGTCACAATCATCATAATAAGTGACGATGATGAGGTAGATTGTGCCAATAAATTGATGCTATTCAAATTAAACAAGAAGAGAAGGAATCAATGCCATGAATGACTTATATCATTGAACCATATTCTATAGGTTAAAGAGCGTGAAATGAATTATGACACACATGCACTTCAAAAGACAGTGGTTAGTTTAAGTTGTTTTTAAGAATAGTTTAATTTTCAGATTATATACTTCTTCATCAATTTGAATGATTGCATTTCTTTAGTGATGTGTATAGAAAAACAAGTAATCTACATATTATATAATAAACTCTGGGTACTTTCCACAACGATTATCTATTGTAACTGTGATGAAATGTCATTTATATTTCATATAAATTGCCGTTGTTGGTTTTGAATCGAGTACATATATATATATATATATATATATATATATATATATATATATATATATATATATATATATATATATATATATATATATATATATATATATATATATATATATATATATATATATATATATATATATATATATATATATATATATATATATATATATATATATATATATATATATATATATATATATATATATATCAACGGTTGGTATGCGTAACCATTGTGATAGGTAGCACACGTCTTGCTTTATTATCACGATCTCACGACCTTGGTGGAAAATATCAGACATACAATTACCCCTTACCTCACAACGGTTGGTCAGGTGTTAAGGTATCCTTTTTCTAACTGTCGTGGTATGACATTTCCGTAATAGTGGCCCGATTATATAAAAAACCTGAGAATGTTGCTAGACGAGGAAGAAGAAAAGTGAATCTTATCTCTTCTTAAAGGGAACATAGATCTCTTTGTCGGTAAACTCCATGACATCCTCAATATAAAGGAAAAGGATATATCCATAGATTGACATTATCCTAACCATCAAGCCAATATCTCAAAGAAAGAGAAGAATGAGGAAAGAACAAAGAAAGACATTGGAAGAAGAAGTTTAGAAGTTAGAATAAGTCAACTTTATTAGATAGATAAAATTCCCTTAACGGTTAGCCAATGCGGTGACGGTAAAAAAGACAAGAGGAAAATGGAGAATGTGTGTCCATTTCACCGACCCTAACAAGGTATGCCTAAATGATTTCTATCTTTTCTCCGATATAGCCATATTAATAGATGATGCAAATTCAGAATACAACCAGATCAAAATAAATTTTCAAGATGCCCCATTTACCACCTTCATGACAAACACCTAGAATTACCATTACAAAGCCAAAACCTTTAGCTTAAAAATGCTAGTGAAACATATCAACGATTAACAAATATGGTTTTCAAAGACCAAATATGATGGTAATTAGAAATCCAAATAAATGTCATGGTGGTCAAAATAGAAAATGATGTGTGAGATTTTGGATTGAACTCTAGTCTCGACAAGGGTAGCTTCTTGGTTCGATAGAGATTAAGCATGTTGTTGAAGTCTGTTCACATCCTGATGTCGAAGTCCTGCATCCTGTAGTCAAAGTACGCTCAAGCTTGCAATAACCGAAATGCTAT